AACAAACATGGTAGGTATTACCATGTTTAACAAAAAGAAAAAAAAAAAGTGAGTACATTTATCTATTGAAAATTGGTTGAAACGAACCTTTAAGCCGTTATGGAAAGTGGTTCGGTTTTCGGTTCGGATCAAACATTTGTAGAAAATTTCGGTTCGGTTAATGGTTCAGTTAATTAATAGAAAAAAAGCGGTTTTCCGGTTCAAAACCGGTTCACGTCCCTGGCTATTACCAGAGAACGGATTTTATGGAAATTTTTTTTCTGCTAAAGAGATAGAGTATATTCGATTAAGAATGTCCACGATTTAGCTTTCCCTGATTCCATACATACACATTTGATGTTGCCCTTTTTTGTCTTTTTTAAGATATTTGCCTTTTTGGCCTTTTTTAAGATATATGCCTTTTTTTACCTTTTCTACCTTTAAAAAAGTGATTATAGCATTTAAATTTTTTTTTTAAGATTAAAAAATATACACATGCCCATGCGGCATATAGAAGCGTAGGGACCTAGTGCCTTTTCCTGCCTTTTTCGCTATTTTATTTTGCCTTTTCCAGCCTATTTCGTTATTTTATTTTGCCTTTTTTATAGGTTTTTAGGTCCTAAAAATCCGTTCCCTGGTTATTACTCTTCCTTGTGTACATCGGCACAATCTGAACTAGACCTGTGTTAAATATATCATAAAACACATTGGCCTTATCGTCAATTGAGTCGATTTTGTATAGATCTATCTAGGGATACATACATAGTCGGCTTTTTTGAATGAGAAGGTGGGCGCGGAGTTGGACTTCAGACTTGATTGAAAGACTATGTTTACTCCAATTTCGGGATGATGCTTATCTTAATCAACGATGGGGAAGATTTTGTCTACGCTTGCATCTGTATTACTGAAGCATACATCGAGGATGCGATCGTTAGCATTGCTAAGTTGGAAAGGTAGAAACTTCGCATACAAGTTTGGTGCAGTCATTTGACTGCGAGCTACTTGGAAGATAATAGTCACCCAAGATTAGAACTTTCGAGTTAGGGTATTTGTCCGTTATACGATTTATGGCTGGGATGTGGTTTGAGAATAGATAGATAGATGAAGAGGGCGGCATGGGTATATGTAAACACAGCCAATTACAAAATCATTATTCTGGCCTTTCACCTTGGTGAATATTTGCATCAATTTGTTGTTATACCACTTTTGGGGAAATCAATTTCGGTCTTAAAGTTACGCGCACTCGCCCAATATCAAAAAGTCAACACTTAAGCAAATGTTCAACTTCACTTTTTTGGTAAGTTGCGCTTTTTTCCTCAATTTTTACAATTAGTTTTCGCAATTTTCAGCGCGTACACGTTTTTATGTTCACTTGACGCACAGGGTTGCCAATGCAAGCAGGATTGTGAAACAAAACTTAAAAGCATTTATGAAATATAGATACACGGCCGTTACACGCAATATATCAAAACGGACGGGACTCACACTTCATGTGTTTGATTTGTTTAAAATTTTTAGGGTTGATGGATAAACATAAATAATTAATAAATATGAAATTTGAGCTTGATTAATACATTTTTAAAAACTTTACAGCACAAAAACAAAAAAACCGATTTAATAGTTTTCCAAATATCTCGAGAACGGCGCGAGGAAAAAATTTGAAAAAAATCACACATACACACATCAAAATTCTCTATGAAAAGAAATATTTTTTAAATTTTTTTCTTGAAAAATTCTCATAAAAAAAAATCTCATAAAAAATTGAAAAAAATTGTAGCTCAGATTATTGCACAATATTTAAGTATAATATTATCAAAGAACGTAGATAACAAGAAGGGACAACTCGTTATAATTGTAGCGAAAGTAACAGGGGCGTGCTTCTCTTTTGCTCGAGTACGTTTTTTACTCACTTTCGCCACAAGTTGAGTAAAATGAGTAATTACAAATTTACACTTTTTTTAGTATGCAGGTGTGTGGCCCGTTAAATTTTAGTTTAATAAAGTGCAAGTTTTAAGCTACTGCAAAATTGCGTTGATTTTTAGTATTTTTTATACTGACGGCTTATGGCACTTTTTTCTTATGGAAGAAAATGCGCAAAACCGTTTTGAAAGACAATTAAAAAAATCAACGCCAGTTTTGCAATCGCTTAAAACTTGCACTTTATTATACGAAAATTTAATGGGCTACAAAACTGCCATCTCAAAACAATTCTAAAAAAAGAAATTAAAAAATTTTTAAATTTGTAATATACTTACATATTTTACTTAACTTGCAAAAAAAAATCATAACTCAAATTACACTGGTCTACAAGGGTTTTGCGAATAAGACGGGACCTGGTGTTTCCGAACGGATTTTTCGTACTGAACACGAATCTGGGGTCCAAAACTTCCCATCACGTCACGTTTTCGAGAAAAAAGGGGTTGAAACCCCTAAAAACAGCGTTTTTGGCCATTTTTGAAAAATTGTAGAGCTGAACCCTGACGTGCTACAAACTTTGTATATGTCAGAAATTAAAGGCTAAATCGTGCCCTTTCGAATGAGCCCTATGCCGAATTAATCGCATGCACCCTTAGATCAGGGGGTGTATTTGTGTCTAGGAGTCCAATTTTTATATCCACCATATTCGACCCGTCATCTTAAATTTTTAAAATCTAACTGCAGATTCGTAATCAGCGACTTTTAATATAGTTAAAACCTTGGCATTATTAATTTTCTATGATCGTTTAAGATTAAATTCTTTCTGTGATCAATTTTTCCTGCACCCCTAAACACAAATACACCCCCTGCTTTAAGGGTGCACGCGATCAATTCGGCATAGGGCTCATTCGAAAGGGCACGGTTTAGCCTTTAATTTCTGATATATGCAAAATTTGTACCCCGGATTCGTGTTCAGCACGAAAAATCCGTTCAGAAACACCAGGTCCCGTCTTATTCGCAGAAAAAAAGTTGAAATTTGTAGACCAGTGTTATTGTAGAGTTTGCCCCATAATCGATTTGTTTTTGTTGTAGTTTTAAAAAATATAATAATTAAGCTCAAATTTCATATTTATTTATTATTTATGTTTATGGATGAACCCTAAAAATTTTAAACAAATCAAACACATGAAGTGTGAACCCCGTCCGTTTTGGTATGAAACACCCCATAAACATTATCACACAATATGCATAACCATTATCACACATAAAATGTATAAAAATTATTATACATGATTTTTTCAAGAATTTATTTAGATTAAGCGGAGTGCATTACTTATTTTATTAATACTAACTTATAGTAAAATGTTTTGAAAAATGTTCATTTCTGAATCGTCACATAAGTATACTTACACACATATACATATGCACATATACTTATTATAATAATCTGTATGTATACACAAATGCGGAAAAAACTTATTAAACAGAACAACCAAATTCATAAAAATAAAAAAGATTTATAATGATTTGTAAATCGTAAAGTTTTATGAAAATGTCACTTTATAAAGTTTTTTAAATCTACATATTTAATTTTTTAGGAATAAATGTCCAATTTGATGTGCCATAATCATAACGCTATAGCCATAACTTTGTCAAATGCTTCACACCTGCTTATGGTTATGGCCCATACGTTTGATCAGAACAGATAAGTGATATGGATATGGTTATGGCTATGGTATGGCACCACTAGTTGGGTTTTAAGACCATAATACATTTGTAATATTATTACACATTTTCAAACACATATACAAACTCAAAGAATTCTTCACACAAGTTTGAAAATGGGTGACACAACAGTTTTT